ACCAATGGGTTACTTTATAAACATGAAAAAAAGAGAAGTTTATGCAGAAAACCAAATAGGTGAGAATATAAAAAAGAGATGAAAAAAAGTTAATGGATAATTTCAAAATATACCATAAAGAGATAATTACTGTGTGAAAACTACAGGGGGGGAGGGACAGATCAATAGAAAAGAGCAAAGATTTAATAAAGGTTAATTGTCCAACAAATGTTTGTCTTTAATAAATCCAAGAATACTAAACACTCAGTAAATTGAGGAATTATTGGAGAAATTGTATTATAGAATGGTGAAACATGAATCTAGCTCCAAACACCACATCATATACTATAGTATGTTCCAACTGAATCAATGAGTAAATTTTTTTAAAAAAAATTTCATTTAGAACTTAGTAAACTCTTTTTCTCTTTTTTTGTTCTTTAACATTCTTTGTTGTAAAGGTTGACTTTCTTATAAGGGGAAGGGAAAGGGAAAGGATACAGGAAGACATTTAAATGATATAAAAACAAAATACATTAATTTTTTTAAGTTAGAGCAATAGTAAAAAACAATACTAAATTAAAAAAAACGTAAAGATGAGAAGATAACACTAAATGTAATTGGAGTAACTCTAATCAAGATTTTTAAACATGGTGTCAATTTGAATGGGAAATGGATTAAAGTAAAGATAATGACTCTATTACAATTTCAGGGATATCTTCAAAATTATGCAAAGCAATCACCGCAACAAGGAGACTAAAACAGTTCTGATGCCTCAGCCAACAAATACAAAATGATTTCCTTGCCAAGCAGAAAGACAGGGCAGACAAGAGCAAAAAAGGACACCACCGGCCCAAGGCACAAACTCATTTGCACAAACATCATGGAGGAGCATAACTATGAGTTCAGAACAACTGGAAAAAACAGTGGAGGGGAAGACAAGCCTTCAGAAAGTTTGGCAAGAAATCCAATGAAATCACATCATCCTATCAACATTTATAAATGAAACTAGAAGGAGAGCAACAAATAGATGAGGAAATACAACAGATCTGCCAGTGTTTCTATAGTGATCTATTCTCATCAGTAATTAGAGTGTAACCAATACACTTTGACTCCACTACCTCATTACACCACTGATGTATGGAAGCATCAATGGCATTTAAGATGTTAAAGTCAGAAAGCAGGGCTGGGACCAGACCAAATGTTGGATGTGACACAATTTTTTAAAAATACTACAAGAATCACTTTTTAAAGATTTCTCAAAAAGTTCCAAAAGAATGACAGCACTGGAGACAGCACTAATACCAAAAGAAGGCAACAAGAAAAGATCAACAACTACCAACTGATTTATCTACTTTCTTATGAGAATAGAATAAATACATATCAAAGGTATAACTGAGGAACTCAAGGAGGAAGTAGGCTACTTCCCTAAATTATTTTCTATACTAGATCACATCTTTACACTTGTACAGCTTACAGGTGTAGGGAATACAGTATCATACTGTATTTATTGTTTATTGATTTTTTTTACAAAAAGAATTTTAATTCATTGAGCAAAATGTGGCCTTAAAGGATCTCCTTTTAGAAGACATCTCCCATGCATATGTTATAACATCATACAAGATATTCTGTTATCTCTATGAAAAATGACACCATAGAGATAATTTGTCCAGAGACTTGCTAAGTATCAACATCAACTAAGGCATAAAATAGGGAGACTAAAGGTGTTCACCTGTGTCACAGAGGATGTCCTGTGCAAAGCCCAAGTAGAAGAGGGATTCCTTATTGACAGAGAAGCTCTCCCAATGCTCCTGTTTGTGGATGATACCATGATGAATTCATCGAGCCCTGGAACACTCCAGTGCCTCCTTAACGAGATCCACAGCCACTCAAAAAGAGGATTAGTCTAGCAATCCACACTATGAAAACAAAGTGGATGAAGAATGCATACTGCCCAGATTATAACATGCAGTTGGACAGTCAGCCCATTGAGGTAGTCCATCAATCCATATATCCTGAGTATATACTACAGATGGACACAGAGGTGGGCCCAGAAATGAATTGTAGATAAGTGGATAATATTGCATTTGAGAAATCACATAGCTCTTTAAATACCAGTGTTCTTTTGGTTGTAGTTATGTGGCTGGGAATCACAAGTCACAACTACAGGTGATCCAAAGAACAATGAAAGAACCCACAGGTGTATATAAATGGTATGTTACCAATAATGACTGGCTTGGAAGAAGTAGCATAAGAGACACCATCAAGGACATACATGACTAGGAAAGGAAACAGATTGATCTTTTAGCAAGAACAAGGGATGACAGATGGGCAGTGCATAAATGGAAAAAAGAAGTAGGCTGGCCACCTAGTAAGAGCAAAGGTGAGCCACTTGAGTGTTTCAGTGGTATCCATGAAATAAAATAACCAAAGAAAGACCTCTAGCAGCATGAGGTGGACCCTCAGGAGGATTTGCTGAAAAACAGCAGCATCTGAAGTAAGAAGGTACAGATGGATTATGAGATGGACTGGTAACAAGGTCACAGATCCACTTAAGTACTGAAATAATGAAAGACTTGCAGAAGAAGAAAAAAATAAGCCATGTAGGAAAAAAAAAAAAAGCAGAACCAGAGAGAGAGTGTATACACTGACTTGGACTGGATAAAGGAAAAAATGAACTTTTCATGAATACAGGTATAAAGACAAAGATGGGAAGGCTACTCAAATGGGAATACATTGTTATCATCCTTATCTACAATGTGTATTTATTATAGTGGATTTTTTCTTTAAGTTTCTGTTTGTTTTTGTTAAGAGTTCGGCTGAATTACTGGATTCCATGTGAAGGTGTAAGAGCCCCCTCTATGTGCATTTTTACCCAAGGGCATTTCTAGCGTATTCCTGGGTTCTTGTCTATGTCCTATATTCCCCAGGTTGCTAGATAACTGGTTTCTAGATAAGTGAGGTGTTACTGTATTTAAACTTCATTTAAGCTGTAGCCAGTAAGTCTGTTGTAGGTCTGTTCAAGGCTTAGTTCAAGCCTCTGCTGGGGCCCTATGGGCCATCCTTAAAGTGTTCACCATATGGATTCAAACAGGAGAGACAGAGGAGGAGAGGGTACCTCTCTTGTTTTCACAGAATCACAAAGTTTAGAATTAGAAAGGACCTCTGTGGCCATCTGGCCCAACCCAAATGAGAACCGAATCCTTATGACAATACAACTGACAAGGGGTTGGTCGCCTAGCCTCTGCTTAAAGACCTCCAAGGAGAGGGAGTCCACCTTCTACCAGGCCAGCCCCTTCCACTTTTGCAAAGCTCTCATTATTAGGAAGTTTTGCCTGACAAAACCCAAATTTGTCTCTTTGTAACATCCACCCATCGTCCCTGGTTCTGCCCTCTAGGGTCAAACAAAACAAATCTAGTCCCAACTTTATGTAGCAGCCTTTCAAATACTTAAAAATAGCTATCATGGCACCCCTACCCCATGATGTCTTCTCTTCTTAAAGCTCAATATCCCCAGTTCCTTCAACTAATCCTCATATGACAGACTCAAGACCTTTCACTATCTTGGGGTCTGGGACTGAATACCTTATTCCAGATGTAGTCTGAAAAGGGCAGAATACAGAGGAATTGGCCTTTGTTTTCAGTCATGTTGGATTCTTCGTGACCCCAGTTGGGATTTTCTTGGCAGAGATACTGGACTGGTTTGCCATTTCCTTCTCCAGCTCATTTTACAGATGAGGAAATTGAGGCAAATAGGGTTAAGTGACTTGCCCAAGGTCACATAGCTAGTAAATAGCTGAGGCTGGATTTGAAGTTGGGTCTTCCTGACTCCAGGCCCAGAGCCATGCGCACTATCGCGCCACCTAGCTACCTATCACATCCTTATTCCTGGGAGCTATCTCTCCTAATGCAAACGAAGCTCATCTTAGCTTCTTTCAAACTATACTGGTGACTCAAATTGGTCTCGGTCCACTAAAGTTCCAAGATCTTTTCTACATAAACTTTTGGCTAATTGTGTCTCTCCAACCTTGTGTTTGTGAGATTGATTTCTTTAATCCAAAGTGTAGAATACTTGGATTTCAAAAAATTTTGCTGTTGAAGAGACTTCTGTGAGTGAAAGGAAACCAGATAAAATGAGGCACTGTGGTAAAGGGGGAAGTGTGCTGGATTTGGAGGCAGAGGACTTGGGCTCTGCCACTCATTATCTGAGTGACCTTGGCAGCTAGGGGGCATAGGGGACAGAGCACTGGGCTTGGAGTCAGGAGGACCTGAGTTCAAATCCAGCCTCAGACATCTATTAGCTGTGTGACCCTGGGCAGGTCACTTAACTTCTTATTATCCTCATTTTAAAGTTTCCTCAACTATAAAATGGGGATGATTAGCACTTACTTCCCAGGTTTTTTGTGAGGATCAAATGAGATAATATTTGTAAAGAGCTTAGCACAGTGCCTGGCACATAGTAGGTGCTATAGAAATGCTTGTTTCCTTCCCCTTTCCTTTCCCCCACCTTGGGAATTCAGTCTCTCTAGGGCTTCAGTTTCCTCAGCAGTAAAATGATGGAGTTGGATTAGATGACCTCTCAGGCGCCTTTCAGTTTTAAGTCTAGGATGCTACAGATCCAGTGACTATCTCAAAGGGCCTTCCCAGCTCTAAAAGTCTATGACTCTATGACCCAGTCATGCAATGGGGAGCTTCCCAGTCTGGGGGATGGTGCCTACACCTGGACTGCCCCCATCCTAAGTAGACTGAGGGAACCTGCTCCTCCCCAGAAGCCCAGAGGAGAGGAGCTGAGAACACATCCTTTGGGTCATCCCCAGAACCTTCTTGATACAATCTGGTGATGTCTACTGACCTCCCCCTGCCCAATCAGGAGGTCTTCACAAGAGAGTATGAGTGAGAAGCTAATCTGTTCTCCTGAGCGTGTTGGTCATAAGAGAGGCTCGGATTGGGAGGCTGAAGGCTTGAGGCCCTGAGCCTTGCCTATAAACACCTTATCCCCAGTGGACTCCAGCCCTGGTACTTACATCAGGTCCCACTCCAGACCTTCTTCATCGATGTCATACATCAGATTCATCAGGCGCCTCTTGAAGAAAATCTCAAAGCGCAGGTCGTCCTCAAACACAAGAGATTTCTCCAGCCCTCGCTCCACCACCTGACAAAGAAACCAGGTGATAAGAATGAGGAGGAAGAACTGGCAGCCTTGATTCACAAACTCCTGGGGCCTAGAGAATGTCCACGCCTCTTGGCAGTTACTCCCATTGCACTACTATTGAAACATCTGCTCTCTAACCTACTTCACCCACAAGCCTGTCCTGCACACCTCTACCTGCTGACTTGGCACGCATCAGAAATGCAAATTTGGAGATGAGAGATAAGGACACACTAGTCTATGCACACACCTATGCACTTACAGAGAAATTTAAGCTACTTACACACATGTAGGTGCAGTCATACACAAGTTTTTATATCAGGCTGACATACAGATACATGTGAGCATTGCCTCTTTCTCATATCCTCTCTAACCAATGGAATGTTCCCACCACAGAATCCAATGGTCCATGAGGCAGCTGAGGGTCTGAGGAGCCTGCTTAGCTGTCTCATCTTCCCTAACCACCCAAAGAGAAAGTAGAATCATTCCTACTAATCCAGGATGCCCTTAACCTCCACTTAACTTATTCCAGACATCATTCTTCTCCCACTCCTTCCCTACCACTGACCTTCTTCTGTTTCCCCAAGGCCAGTGTTTCAGTCATTTCAGGGGCCTAACTGACTCATCCCAGGAAGAAAGGCAGCCAGCCAAGAGAAGCCCTGGCTAGCCCGGGTCCACTCTCCCCTCCTCCTCACTCTGGCCAAGGGCAGAAGGTCTGTACATCTACCTATATCCTGCTGCTATTTGGTGCCTTCTCTCTCCTTCTTGGCCCAGCTCACTCACACTGCCATCTCTCAAACAACCACAAACACATTTTCTACTTCAGACACAGCCAGCTCTTAGGGATAAATACCATCCTCCACCTCCAGGGTGCCCCTTCCTCTCTTCCTTTCCCTTCCCCACAGCTCCCAGTTGTAGAAGCAGCTAGCTAGGCTTCTCCAGTCTCTCCCTGTGCTAGAAGGCTCATAACCACCCTTTATGATATCCAGGCTAGACATCCTGGATGAGAGAGGCTTCAGGGGAACACCGTAGCTGCTTCCCGAGACAGGGAAGAGGGATTAGACTTGTTCTCCTTGGCCCCAGAGGATGGCACCAGGAATATGCTACCGAGAGAGAGGTTTGAGCCTGATGTAAGGGAAAACCTAGGAAAAATTAGAGCTGTCCCAACAACAATAAAAACAACTCCCATTTCTATAGCACAGGAAGTTTACAAAGAGCTTTCGTTTACAACAACGCTATAGACATATCTCCATTTTTACCAATGAGGAAAGTGAGGCTCAAATAAGTTAAGTGACTTACTCCTGTCTACGCAGCCAGGAAGTGTCTAAGTTGGGCTCTGAAGCCAGGTCTGACTGCAAGTGCACTCTTTCTGTTACACCATGTGCCCTTTCTGGTGATCAACAGAAGGTAACTGCGATGCCCATACCCCCATCTGGATTGTCACAACCCCCTTGTTGGAATGCCCAAGAGAGGATTCCAGCTCAGGTCAGACTACATGCCCCCTGGGGGTCTTTCCAACCCTTGAAATAAGCATGACTCCAGCCTTGTAGGCACAGACTTACAGGCTTTCAAAGTTAGAAGGGACCTCAGGTGCTATCAAGTACAAGCCACGTCTGGACTACCTGACATTCATCCACCCCTCCTTTGCTTGAAGACCTGCCACAAGGGGGAGCTCCCTCCCTCCCTCCCAAGGCTGCCCATTCCTGTTTGGGACTGCTCTAGTCATTAGGAAGTCCATCCTGACATCATCAAACTGGCCTCTTTTTGGCTTCCACTCTTTGTTCCTAGTTCTGTCCCATGGGGCCTGACAGAGCGAATCAAATCCTTCCTCCAGAGGACAGGTCCTTCAAATCCTCGAAGAGAGTTATCATGTTCCCTTATCTTCCCACCCTGGTCTCTAGGCTAAAAATACCATTCTGCGCCTGGTGGGGATGTGGAAACCCATAGGGCGTTCAGCTGAGCTCTCTTGAGGCACTGTGGCGTGAGATCAGGGGAGCCCTTTCCGTTGGCACTCACCTCCTTCCAGATTTGGTGGTGACTGAGGAAGCAGCCCAATTCCCCCTTGGTGAGTGGGCGGCCGTGGTAGGGGTCCTGGTAACCAGGTAGCATATGAATCCCTAGTGCTTCCACTTGGCTTGTGTTCATGGCTCTAGAAGAAAGATGAACACAACTGTTTTCTAAGCCATTCGAGGTTACGGGCGATGGCTGAGCCAGCTGCAGACAGTACATGGGGGGAAAGCGGACAGAAATAAACTTTTATGTAGCACCTACTATAGTGCAAGACACTGTGTGTAACATCACTTTACAAATATTATCTCATTTGAGCCTCACAAAAACTCTCCAAGTTAGGTACTGTTATTATTCCCATGTTTACAGTTGAGGAAACTAAGGCAAACAGAGGTTAAATGATTTGTCCAGGGTCACACAGCTAGTAAGTAACTGAGGTCAGATTTGAACTCCAGTCTTCCTGACTCTAGACCTAGTACTCTAAGCACTGTGTCACCTAGCTAGTCTGATGAGCCTGCCAGAAGCTACCGGGCATTGCACACCTATGCATCTGCCCAGTGAGGAGGGCCATGGGCTGTATATCCTCTCCCACAGAACTGGTTAAGGACATGTGGAGCATACTATACCCCACAGAGTAAGACCTGGGATTCCTATGGGAATGGAAAGTGAGACTGGCCATACCCTGGCAGGGGATGCGCCAAACACCATCCCAGGGCTGAGGAATTCTGTACAATTCTTAGGAGAGAGAGGGCTCATCAAAGGACTTGTGGCTCATATTTCTGGAACTGCAATGTCACTGGTCCCTGCTGTGACCCAGGGCTTCCCCAGGTCCCCTGGCTACTCACCTTCCATCTATTGCATCAACAATTTTGCATTCAATCTCTTGCTCATAGAGAGTCCTCAGCATACGCTCACGTCTGTCCAGTCGACGTTTAAGATTAATCATGAAGACCTATAAGGCCAAACACAAGGCACGATCAAACCCCAAAGTCTCCTTCCATCCTCTCCCTCCCCTCCTCCTCCCACGTCTGGCTCTCCCCAGGACCAGTGACCATCCTCACCTCATCAAAGCCCATCTTATCAGGTACCTTGACCGGGACAGAGGTAAAATGTGAAGGTTCCACTGGGGGGTACTTTACTGTAGGAAAATAAAAGATAAAAAGACATGCATGGCATCTTTTGTGTATCAAAGAACTGGAAACAAAGCAGATATCTATCACCATCATGCCCCAAGAACCTCATCATCCTACAAGATCACATCAACCTTGGAACTCACACCTCATCAGAGCCATCTGCTCCTGGGACCACTCTAAATAGATGGCGGAGCAGAGCTGTCTTTTCATTTCATTTCCTTCCCTTCCCTGTTCTCCTTTGGATTTCATGCTTCCAAGCTGGGTCCCCTTCCTTCCTCCACCACCTCCACTTTTCAGCTTCCTTTAGTGTATTGTTTTCTCTCATTAGAGTGAAAGAGGGCAGGAATTTTCTTTTTCATATTTGCATCCCCACTGCTTAGCAAAGTGCCTGGTGCATAGTAGGTGTTTAATAAATATTTATTGACTGTCTGACTACACAGCTCAACAAACTGTAGTACATGAACCTAGTGCAATATTACTACGCTGTAAGAAAGAGTGACCATGAAGTTTAAGGGGGTAGGGAGGATAGAGGAGGAAGAGGGAGTTGTATGATCTGAAATAAATCAAAATAAAAAGAACCAGGTTAAAATACACACAACAACAATCTAAGTGGAAAGAACATAATACTATAATGACCACACTTGGCCCCAGAGAAAAGATATACCTCCTTCTCTTCTTTGCAGGAATGGGGGACTCTGGGTACAGAACACTGCATATACTTTCAAACCTGCTTGATATATTAGTTGAATTTGCTAAACTGACTCCCCCCCTCCTTTTTTAAATCTCTGTTACAAGGGATGGCTCTTTGAGTAAGGAGGGAGAGAACAATATATTTGGAAATTAGGGTGATTTAAAAAAGGTATCAATAATTTTAAGAAACATGCATGATGGTCCATCTACTGGCCTAGCACCAGACTATCAGAAATGTGATTTCAAAGCCAACAACCCCAAACACCCACACATGTAATTCCTGCCTTCAAGAACTCCCTCCCCAAATGCATAAGACATATCATACCACATCACCACACATGTGGGAAATGGATACATGTGCACAGCAGACCATACATGAGATGTGTGTAAGAACAATGGAATGGAAAAACAAATACAAAAGGGAAATCATTTTGTATACATGCTATAGGATACCAGAGAGAGGGAAGGAAATGTCTGGAATTATTGGGTTGGGTCAGCCAGGGAAATCTCTATGGAGGAAGGGAGTTTTGAGAAGAAACTGAAGTGAACAGAGGTGGGCAGATGAGCATTCCAGGCCCACAGGATGAGAAGCAGATTAGCTGGAGCAGAAGGGCCACGGTGGAACACCACACAGATTGGAGCTATTGCCTTCCTCACTAGAAATGCCCAGGGACAGGAACCCAGCCTTTTGAAAGCTGAACTGACTTCCACCAACCTTCAGTTCTGTGTGCCTGGAGTCAGGACAAAGACATAGTGTGAACCTTTCCCAAGGAATACGAGGGAGAGAACAGGCACTAGCCTGTGCTATGGACTGGACTCCAGCCAGAACAGGAAGGCAGCTGTAGGAACCACCAGCAGGAGCCAAACTGCCAAACACCTCCAACGAAGGGTCTGCCCTCCGGGCTCATATGTCCTCAACTTCTGCAATCTAATTCCTTTTTTGCTCAAAGGCTGCTCCCATCCAGGTCATTAGTAACCTGTTAAGTTCCCAATCCCTTCTCATTCTCCCTGAGCCCTCTATGGTATTTGACGTTAGTGAGAGACAGTATGGGCTGAACAAGTTGTGGTATGTGATTGTGACGGAATACTATTGTGCTATGAAAAATGATGAGTGGGATGCTTTCAGAAAAGCCTGGAGAGACTTGTATGAGCTGATGCAAAGTGAAATGTATTGTGCACAAAATAACAGCAACATTATAAGATGATCAGCTGTGAATGATTTAGCTATTCTCAGCAATACAATGATCCAAGACAACTCTGAAGGACTTATGATGAAACATGCTATCCATCCCCAGAGAAAGAACAGATGGTGTCTGAATACAGAAGGAAGCATATTTTTTTCACTTTCTTTATTTTTCTTGAGGTTTTTTTTTTGGTCTCTTTCACAACATGACTATTATGGATATGTTTTACATGACTACCCATGTATAACCTATATCAAATTGCTTACCTTCTCAGTGGGGGAAGGTGGAGAGAGTGGAGAGGGAAGAAGGGAGAGAATTTGGAACTCAAAGTTTTTTAAAAAAAGAAAGTCAAAAAATTGTTTCTACATGTAACTGGGGAAAAATAAAATACTAAATCAAAAAACCAAGAAGAGAGAGACAGAGACAGGGACAGAGACAGAGAGAGCATGGGGCCATGTGAAAAAAATGCTGGATTTTAAGTTAGAGGATGGGGGTTCTAATGTGACATTTACACCCTTCATGACCCAGCTCCAGTCTACCTTTCCAGGTTTGTTATACATGACTCCTCTTCACACATGCAATGATATAGGCCTCATACGTAATATTCCATTTCCCATCTCCATGATTTTCATAGGCTGTCCCCCATGCCTGGTATGCATTCCCTCTTCTTGCAGAACCCCTAACTTCGTCAGTTAAAGCACCACCTTCTTTATGAAGCTTTCCCCCCAGCTGCTAGTACCTTGCCTTCAGAATTACCTTGTATGTAAGCTCCTAGAAAGCATGGACTGTGTTTAATGTTTGTCTTTATATTCCCACCACCTAACAGAGTAAATGGCACACAGTAGGCATTTAATAAATACTTCTTGATTGATTGATTCTTGACTTTGCTAATCATTGAACTTGGGCAAGCTATTGAGCCTCTCTGGGACTCAGTTTCCCCATCTGTAAATGGGGGGAGGGTGGACTAACTAATGTCTAAGACGACTTGCAGTTCTTACTCTACAATCCTGTGACCACTTTCTCCCTTTTCACAACTCTCCAGGAATCTTTTCCCTCTCCTCTGTCTTCTTTCTCCTCCCACTCTAGAGAAGGATATTCTCCAAGAAGCAATGGAATTTAACAAGTGCTTATGAAGTGTTCTACTTTGTGTCAGGTGCTGTACCAGGCACTGGAAATTCAAAGACAAACGAGAGGTGGGTTTAAGCCCTCTCCTTGCTCCACTCACCCAGAAAACATTCTAATGACTTCAATTAATGGTGTCACAGAAGATCCCCAAGCCTCCATTTCCAGTCCTCTCGATCTCTTTCTGAGCTCCAGGCCCACATCTCTGCTTGGCTATCCCGCCAGCTCAACCTGTCCCCTCACAGGCACATTTCCCCCTAAACATCTCCCCCTTTCTCATCTGTATTGCACAATTGGCCCCACCATTCTCTCAGGCCCACAGGACCAAATGCTAGGTCATCTCTGACTCCTCACTCTCCCACTATCTTCTGTCTAGTCATTAAGTTCTGCTGATTCTTCCTTTGAAGTGTTTCTCTATCCTTTCTTTCCCACTGTTATGCCTCCTGTTTAATGACTGTTTCACCACATATTCAATGACAGCATAGCTCCCCTGACCCCCAACAGAAGGCTTCCAAAAGAAAAAGCCAATGGGTGGCAGAATTTCTTATTCTAACATGGCTCTCCTTGATTTGTAGGATTTCACTGTTTTATTTTCCAACAGTAACTTATGCTCACAGGGTCCCCTGCTTTACACCATCTTCAGAGTCTGTCCAGGTGCTCATATTTCCTACGACATCTAATGACTAATCTCAGAGTCCCAATTAATGTTATTCAGGGGCTTTGGTTCTAGTTTAAAGAATTAAATGGTATGTTTCAGGTGATCTGTCCATACTACCCTATGCCTCCACTCAGCAAACTCCAATGACTTTCTAATACCTCCAGAATCAAATATAAACTCCTTTGCTAGGCTTTTAAAGCCTTTCACAACCTGCCTGGCCCCTTCCTACCCTTCTAATCTTCTTACACCTTACTGCCCTAGCAACACTGATCCAGCAACATTGGCTTTCTTTCTTTCTTTCTTTCTTTCTTTCTTTCTTTCTTTCTTTCTTTCTTTCTTTCTTTCTTTCTTTCTTT